GCTGAAATAATTGGTTAGACTTCCTGGAAGGCTCCCTTAAAGAGTTGACAGCAGCTGGCATAAACTTCCATTTTCTCTAACCCCTTGGTGCTTGGAGCTGCCTGCATCATGGATGTGATAGCAACCATGGGTGACCTTGAATATGAAAGCCTCATGCTAAGACTGGTGGAGCAGAAAGAGAAAAGGAGCCTAGGTTTCTCATGACCATACCAGCCATGGACTGCTTACCTCTGGTCTTTTTCATGAGAAAGAAAAGTAAATATATATTCACTTAAGCCATCATGAGTAACTGAAATGAACCAGCCTGACTCAGCAACCCAGCTTCCGGCCCTCCTAGAACTTTTCGATATTTCCTGAAGGTTCACTTTTATCAAATTTCACTTCTGTAAAACCAGAGCCCACAGCATCTTGTACCACACCCCTCTCCCACCAGGACCCTTCTTTCTGGCATGGCCCTCACCACAGCTCCTTCCAAGACTCACTCACCAAATTGGCAGTGGTTGATCTTGTTGTAGAGCAAGCCCATGGGGATGTTCCAGCCCGCAGTTCTGTCCACGGCAGTGTGGCAGGACTTCTTGCCTTTCAGAGAGTTCCAGGTGAGGTCAGCATCTGATTTCTTCACTACTGCCACAGCCAAATACCCTACAAGAAAAACACCAGAAAAGGAAGTATTAACACTTCTGGGGCCTCCAATGCGTCTGCTTCCAGTTAAAGGCACCATCTCCCTAGGGAAGCAAAGATGTCCTTAATCATTCATTGTGTCTTAAAAGGACACCCAGTAATTGACTGAGGTGAAGTACAGGGTACTTTTCAGGAGGAGATTACTCTGAACTTTAAAAATGAATGCTAAGAATCTATTATCACTAGAGCAGTGTCTTGTGTATAACCTTTCCCTAAATGCATAAAGTTACTGAAGTTATAAGCCAGCAATTCACACTCCAATGTGTTATATCAGAGGAATGTTTACTGAACAGCTAATGTAAGTCCAACATTTTATAAATTAGCATGTATTGAGATATGTTACACTTCTCACTGTGTAACGGAGATGAAAAAAAAGGATTAATTACTCAAAGCACCATGAATGCGATGAGAACCTGAAGGGACCGCACTTCAGCAACTCCTTTGCTAGAAGGAGAAAACTGGGTACAGCCCCGGTTCAAAGTTAGCTTCTGTTTTTTATTGTAAAGACGAGGAAGTTTCACAAGAAAAATCAGTTGATTCAGTCATTTCAAAAGGACACAAAGACGGGCAGTGTGACAAAAGTTATTTATGGCTAAGGATAGCTTAAACAATGGAAACTAGTAACATTAGTAAAATTAACAACGTGACATTCCAAAGTACAATTTGTGAAAAGCTAAGTTGGTCAAACTGCGATCATTATCTAA